GATCGACAACCGATGACGTACAAGCCTGCGTACAAGAGGTGAAAGGCAGGTTTGGGCCATTGGCAAGCTACTGCTATATCCCCAATCTGCGTTCCCGACAATGGCGGTGCTAACTTGACGCTATAGTAGCACAGCATTCGCTGAAACAACCTCTTGAGACAGTGGATAAGAAAATGCAATCTTCATTAGCGGTACTCTGCACCATGCACTGAAATGCATCTCGTTACTGCAAAACTTGTGAGCACTGAATGTGATTCCAACATTTAAGGGTGCATGTGATTATTTACGGCAGAACCGCGCCAGTGTTTTCCCATCAGCCTTGTTGGTATGGCAACTTGGCGCCAGCACCTTTGCGTCCAGCACGTGGAGCAACTGTTTGTGAAGGGGTGACCACTTTCGGAGGCGCCCCGCACGCGGGTCGGCCACGCGTCGGGCCATGGCAGCGTTGCTCGTCGGAGCGCGCCCGTCATGCAACGGGCCCCCATCTTTTTGCCGAACACAACAAACCGGCGAAGTTGCGGACGCGAGCGACGCCCGGCGTTGCCTGACGATGCCTCAGCATGGGGCCGCAGCGGATGCCGCATGATTCATCCACATCTGGCACATACCCCCCACACCCGCCGCACCACCATATATGGTGGTATATGCCTTCTTCGTGGTCAGTCAGGACATGCCACGGGTTGTCCATCCTTTCCCTTCACTCATTCCGCATTTCGGCGGTCATTCCGGAATGAACTTAAACAGGAAGATCACGTTTCTGGAATGGCCGTGCTGGACTAGTCTAAAATAAAACAAGTGCCCAGTACCTGGCATTTTGCAGTTCCATGTCGTACCGCTTTTCCTGAAAGGAGATTTAACCCCTTCTATTTGACACCGCCGCCGGCCTCACTCCATTCAGGTCATCTCCTCGAACGGCGTGCCCTTCCTGCTGACCATGCTGGACTCCAAGGCCTCCGTGGCCGCCATGGCTTCCTTCTGCCTGTTTCAGTTGTCGCGGGGCGCCTCCTGCGAAGTCCGGGGCTCTCAGCTGGGACCGGGCATACCGAACCTCGTAAGAGGGCTGTCTTCGGAGCTTGAAGAAACCAGGAGCTGGTGCGGATGGCCTTGGACGGCAGTGTGCCTCTTTTTGGGGGTTATGGGGGCGATGCTCCGTAATCTGCGCTGCTAGCAGTATCTTGTGCTTTGTCGCAAATAACAACAACGGAAGTGCATCGCGACAGTGTTTGGCACCCAGTAGTCGTAAGCGCTCGACAGCTGCTTGTTGAGATCATTTGATCAAAAGCGTGCCATTGCTCCCCGCACCCCTACGTTGCCCTGGTTAGAGAGCCACTTGCAGCTCGAGGCGGCAATGGTCACTGACGCATGGGAAGTTCATTGACATAAAGTGTTTCTACTACAATCGTTGTGAATTTGTTGCTGAATTTCCGTCCCTTTGCTATCTGCACTAGGAAAAAAGGGCCAAATAAAACGAACTCAAATGTGTACGAAGTTTACGGGTCTGGGTTATTTTCGTGGTTGTAGCCTGCAAAACACTGATGAAATGCATATATATGTGCTTGCGAAAAGTGTTATTGTGTCGTTTTTCTTGCTAGTGCTGTGTGCTCATGATGCTGCACAATTCAGCCTGGTTCTTTGCCAGCGCCTACATGGAAGTCGGTCGGAACGGGCCACTTCCCTTATCCAAGCTTTTTGCGCCGGTCCACGTTCTGGGATGAAGACGTGCCCGACATCGCCTGCGAGTTGCAAGGGCCCAGCTTTGCCCTTTAAACGCATTGCCAAATTCAAACAATGGAATTTAGCAGATCCGCGGTCTCAACTCAGGGGATTGTTGTCGCGTGCTCCCTCACTACGCGCCCCGCTAAGCATGTCACACTCCGTATGCACATAGCATCCACATAGTTTGTACTTCATGGTACTTCCCAGCAGTATTGCAAGTAGCACCTAGTAGTATGTACTAGTATGCGCAAGTTGGATGGCCGGGCTGTTACCGGGGTTACCCGGCAATTGCTGATACCCGCGAATCCGGGTACGGCCTGTACCCGGATCCGAGTATGTACTCGGGTACGGAAAGATTCTCCCTGGCGCCGACTGTGGGACATTGGCGAGCCGCAGTCGACAGTGCTTGGATGGGTGCCGTCTGAGGGAATCCGTGACGACGACGACGCGGCTCGCCTGACGTTCTCCACCGTGAAATGCGCCTTTGGAGGGCACAGTAACAGCCCAGAAAGGGCCGGACGCCTTTGGTCAGCGATCACGTTGACCGATAGCGATCCAGAATCCAAAACACCAGAATCGTTAGACAACAACAGCCACAGCGACAGCCACAACGACAACGACAGAAAACAACACCACACGCAGAAAACGGCCGCGAGAATTGCGACACAGCAGCTGCACAACAACGCCCAAAGCAGGCGCAGCTCCACCTAGCTCAAGCTGCTGGGCGCGTCTCGCTGCACCGCTTGCCATCGGCCAAGCAGCAACATGGTCGATGTTCGAGCCCGTCGGAATCCCAGATTCCTGCTCGCCAGCGCCCCCGATGCCCTCCAAACGCGCGGTCCACGGCGGAGGGCATGGCGCCGTGGGCGACCGCGGACGCAGCCACACGCAGTGTGGACGGGATACCCTTCGTGGAAACCAAGGCGGCGCAAACCAAACGCATCGGTCGACCGCTGGTCAAACGTGCAGTACCCGGGTCCTTACCCGGACCCGGGTACTGGTCTGTACCCTGATAATAGGGATATCCGCCTGCACCCCGGGTGCGTACCCGGACGCGCCTACCAGGGTACAGTGGTTTCAGGATAGGCGGGTACAAGAAAACGCTGTACCCGCCCCGGGTACTCGCGTCACTATGCACTTCTGTCCGGAATTAATTGTCCTCTGTGAATGTGGCTCCCCACTTTTCCATCGTGGACACTTCAGTCTTCAAATGAAACTTCTTCTAGAGCTGTGCCTACAAGTTGTGAGCATGTGGTAAAAAACTGAAGTCAATCCGTTCAATATTGAGGGTTTGGCAATACTTTGTATCATGGGCCTTTTACCTAGTTAACCTCGCTGTTTTGGATCAAAAAATACCAAATGTACTTCCCGCTCAATGCTCAAGGGGTCGTCTCTCACTTTTTCTTCCTGAAAATTAGTATTTAAGTTTTGGGGACCGTTCGGGGCGCCCGCCTTATCAGGACCCAATTTTCCGATTTTTACCTTATCTTGTGATTTTGAGACAATTTTCTAGTGAAATTTGTCCCTCAAATAGAGGACAGTTAATTCCTCGGATTCACCGACGCAGTGATACAACAATTCTGCTCTGGCGCTGCCTTTTACTCGCCTTCGCTCCATTTGCTCTGCTGGGCCCGGCTGACATGGTCCCAAGAATCCCGCACGTCTGCCGCTGTGCAGCTGCGCAGGTGTGCTGTGGATGATGGCCATGGTTGAGGAGTTAAGGGGGGCCATCAGCGACGCGGGCGCCATCAGGCCCCTCACCAAGATGGCGGCCGGAAAGGAGTACAGGAGTCGGTACAATGCACAGGTGACTCGGGGCGCCCTGGTGAGGCATGAGCGCCAAGCCACAGTTCCAAAAAACATCGGGACCGTCCCAATGTCCATTTTCGTTCAAATGAAACTTTCTTTGTGGGCCCCAAATGCCACGTGCACCGATACAGATGTGAAAAGGTTGCTGCGCCATGCGCTAAGTGTTTTTGCAACACAACACCCCACGGTGCGCGTCGCTGTGCGAATGCGAGCGTCGACGTGTTTACAGGCGAACACACAGTTCGCCTTGCAATCTTCTCTTTAGGGCTGTATTGCATACGATCCCTCATCAACAGTGCGGTGCCGTAATTGCACTGCCTTAAGCTGAAGTGCATCAATTGCAACCGTTCATTGAAGCAGTAAAGTGTGGCGGGTGCGCTGCAGCTGTGGGACAGCCGCCTGAAACAGTGTCTGAAACCGTGAACATTCGAATAGGAACGGGCATTCGAAGGACACAATAACTTGTCACATCCCTCAAACAATTGAAAAGCGTGGAAACAATTTAACAACCATGTGGACAAGTGCAGGGGGCGTTGAGGAACTTGGCCTACGACGAGAGCCTGCTGCCAAACGTGCTGGAGGCCAGACCGCTAGAACACCTAGCCAACGTATGGACGCCCCACGGCTGGGGAAAAGAGGTCGAGGGGCGTCGGGAGAATGAGGAAGCGGCCAAGGGACCGGCGAGCATCCAGGGGCCTGCCTTAGACTTCAACCAAAGCAGCTGAAGGCCTGAGGAAACGCCTGCGGGCAAGGGCCTTGCAGGCACCGGCGCCTGTGGATGCAAAGGCAGCGTCGAGCCATGCAGAGGCACACTCTGGCGTGTTCATTACACCAGGGCAATCGAGTCGCCAGAGGCGCCCTGCCATGCAGAGGACACCTCCTTGCCTGTTCAGATCCCCGACAGCTGAAATGGATCTTCAAACCGCTCAACAGATATGTGAGCCAGCTAGAGTCGTTCTCGCTCGTCGTCAGCCCTCTTTCGCATGCGAAGCCCTCCATTGCGCACCATGAGGTGGCCGTTGTTGGCAGAAAGCTTTATGCACTATCCACGCTGTTCAAATGCCGCACTGGCAGCTACAGCAGGATTGCCACATGGCATTTGAGACAAATCAACTGCGGCGCCCCCCATCGCCTCCCTCTCCCATCCCCCACCCCTTACCGCCATCCATTCCCCGCCCATCCACCCCACCTGCCCCCAAGAATGCGCTTGTGATTCTCAAGAACAGGGTCAACCAAAAGAATGGCCCCAGAGAAAACACCGACTCCACCATCCCTCCAACGGCTCCAATCGCGGCAAAATTTATGTGACATGCTCGGCCTGGGACGCCCTGCATGCCGGCCGACTCTCTCCCCCGCTCCTCCCCTCCCCTTGGCGAGCATCCCGTCAGAATGCCCATACCGACAAACGCGCCGCCAGCGCAGTATATATACCTCACCAACACACAAGCCTCCCCCCTATCATATATGCCTGCGTTTCAGGCGCCTGCGGGCCCATCCTCAACCTCGTTCCCCACAAGGCCCTCGATCAAAGGCTGGTCCTGATCCTGGCCCGCCGAAGTGGACTCCGTGCTGCGGGTGACATAGTCCCGATACAGCGCCGCGTCCAGGACGAACATGGGGGACTTCATGGCGGCCCGCAGGGACTGTAGCCCCTCCCTGGTCACCCGGCCCCTCGACGTCTGCAGCCCCGACAGGCGCAGGTACTCCAGGTTGGTGGCGAAGCGGCCCACGTTCCGAAAGTCGTCGTCCACGAGGTCACAGCCCTCCAGCGTGAGCCGCCTCACCGCCGGGAAGGCCGTCAGGGCCTGCCACTCGCTGCCGCCCACCCCCGCCCAGCTCAGGTCCAGGTGGCTCAGCCCCTCAAGGGACGTCAGGTGCCTCAGGCCGCCCCGCACATCGATGTAACTCAGGCTCAGGCGCGTAAGCGACGTCACCCTTGCCACCACCTCGATCACGGCGTCGATGCTGCAGTAGCGCAGGTGCTGCACCTTGAGGTGGCGCAGGCACGGGAAACGCGGCAGGTCCCTGAGGCCCCTCGCGCCCAGCTCCGAGTTGCCAAACTCCAGGAAGGTCACCCCCCTGAAGGCTGGGACCTCGGTCACCCTCTGGCACGCCAGTATGCCCAAGGACCGCAGGCTGGTGTATCTGGACAGCCAGCGCAGCGCCCCATCGTCCACCAGCCCGCATCCGGTGAGCCTCACTGAAGCCAGGTTGGGGAAGCTGTCAAACACCTGCAGCCCCACCTCTGACACCCCCACGCAGAGCTTCAGTCCCAGGGAGGAGAGGGAGGTGTGGCAGGACAGGTGGGACAGGCCCTCGTCTCCTATTCTGATGCAGGAGTCGAGGTTTAGGTTGGTGAGATGGTGCAGGCTGGACAGGCAGGCGAGCTGGCTGTCTTGCAGCGAGTACCACAGCCTCGACAGGTCCAGGGATGTGACCGCCGGGAACGAGTCGAGCACCACATCAAGGAGCTGGCTAACCCGTAGGTTTGACAGTGGACGGAGGGTGAGGGAGTTGATGCCGTGCCGTGCGGCCTCCGACCAGTGCTTGCACACCAGCCGCATGGCGCGCCTGGAGTCTGGGCTGTCAGAGAAGCACGTGGTGTAGACCATCTGGATCACATCTTCACACAGGGCCCCCCACGCTGCTGTGGTCGTGGTGGGCTTGGTGGGCTCGGAGGTCACTGCATCCCCTGTGACCTCCCCTTGCACTGCGCTGTGCATGCTGTGCAGCCAAACATGGCAATGTATAAGCAACGCTGATCATGGGAAAGCACAGATCACTGAGAGAGGACAATTGGCCATTTTGTTGACTAGAGTTTTCAAAATCTGACAAATAACCACCCTTCACTTTGTCCAAAATGCAGAGGGCTGTTCCCCTGCATGGGATGTTGCAAAAGGCCGCAACTGACTGCAAAGAGCAATTACAGAGGTCGGCTCATCAAGGGCTGACGGCTATGCATTCGGGCAGCCTGTGCTGAACTTCAGATGCAGCTACTGAAGGAAGGACGGTTTGTGGGCCACAGATGCAAACATCAGTAACCATTTCTAAACTTCCTTCACATGTTTCCAAACATTTGTGCCTAATTGTGGAAACCAGACTCGTCGCGGGGAAGCAATGAAAGACACAGAACAATTGCATGCAAGACATGTCTTTAGCCCTGTTGTGTCAACTTCTCTTATGGCTTTGCTCACTCCCTGACATCTCGAAGGGCAAGACAGCTTGAAAGAAAAAACAGGCAGACATCAGAAACTGAGAATGGACTGAGTTGGCAGGCAGCAGCTTTCGTTTCAGGCAAGACTGATGCTGGGGGCAACAGACAGGCCTGCATGACAGGAGGACTTTTGCCCAGAATTGCTCTCACACCCTTGACCCTCCCTCTATCATGCTACAGGTGAAAGTGCTGCCTTTTCATTGATGAGCTTTTTCACATTGTCGAAGAAAGTAACAAGGACAACAAAAGAAAGGAAGAAACAAGAGGAATCTGGAAAACAGAGTTCCGGCCTGGGCTGCCCAGATCTGAGCGATGCAGCAAGTCTTGGTTGTTAGATTTGTCCTGAGACAGGACAAAGCACTGCCCAAGTGTCAAACCGCAAGAGGCCACTTTGGCAAGATGTCCAGAACATAGTTGAATTGTCCCAATTCAGGTCCCTAACCTTGTCCCAGGTTGGTGAACCACGAAGCTGTGCAACTGGGCTTGAACAAACCAGTGCATAGTGTCACTCACCCTGGTATCAACATGTGTGCATGTATTTACACCATCCACAAACGATACTCTTTAGCTCCTTTCAATTCTACTCTTCCACGTCTTGGCTGCTGCACACAGACACACGCGCACACACACACACACACAACATCACAAAGGCATTTGAGTAAATCATATTGTGGGCATGCGACTAGCACTACAGTCTTTTTCGCTGAAATCATAGTCTACTGTAGTAATTGTGCTTTCAAACTCAACATGCACTGACAAAGAGACCATAGATTCCATCAGAGGACTGCTCAATACAAAGTCCAGCAATATGCACCTTGTAAAGAATTGCAAAGAGCCAACTGTTGCCGTTCTGTGGCATGGGAAATGTTGATACAATTGAACTTTGTTCTGTCAAAAGGCCGTCCAGTATTTTGTAACCCCATGCAGCAGAAGACCATGGACTGTAAGGGCACATCGGCCTGAGTCGAGCCATTCATTATAACAACGCTGCGATTCCAAGAAGCGAGATACTGCACCTTTGTTCCTACCTTACGATGCAGTATCTTGCATCTTGGAAACGTGGTGCTGTTCAAAGTTTGTGGTGTCCTTCATTGCACTGGGGTGCCTGTGACACGTCTGACAAGGACCACTTGCAACCATGGCAGATTTGGAGCACATGGTCATTTTTGCTTTTTTAGGGTTGCACACAAGCCCAATAGCATGTCCGAAACCTTGCTGACCCAACTTTCAGCCAGGTTCCCCTGCCAGAACAAAAATACTTCAACAGATATCAAAATTCAAGCAGAAATCTCATATGGCCTCTGTATATTCGCCACATTAAGGGTAACCACTATTTCACAACACGGTACGGCGGTCCAAGCACCGGTTAACAATGCCAGATGGTCGCAAATCAACACATAGATCCACAACCACTTCCTCGGTAGCAGTGGCAACTCTTGGCATCAACATTGTACGGGCGTGACCATAAGGATGGCCGTATTCCAAGACATTGGGGGCGTTAACGTCTCACAGCAGTAAAGTCCAGTCTTTGAGCCCCTCACCCCACCCCCCCACCCGCCCCAGAAATCCCAGTTTTGTGTCGCTGGGCTCCCACACCTCCAACTTTCAATGACAATTGTCGCACCACGACAAGCCCATATCCACGTCCACGCGTCCCAAAACGCCGCCGCCTTGCGACCGGGCGCTCATGCCTCACCGTCCCAACTTCGGGCCCCGTGTGGTGCCCAGGGGGGGCTGGGCAGCGGCAAGAATGCCAGGCACACGGGAGCGAACGGCGCGCGCCCCCACCGGGACGCCATTGCCCCAGACACCCACCAACCACCATCGCAGCCGTCAATTGCATCCCGCAGAGAGCGCAAGGCGCCAGCGCACGCGCGCATCTGATCGCGCCGCGTCCTCCGACAGAAAGTCCGCTGTCACCACGCGCCACCGGCGGCCGCCGAGCACCGTCGAACGCATGCCCGACCGCGCACGCCCCTTCGCCCCTCGCGGACCCCTCCCGTCGCCCCAGGTTCCCCAAGAAATTACATCCACGCCCCCCCTCCGCGGTGGATCGGCGAAGCCGCCCGCACATGTCGCCATCCCGTCCCCCGAACCTCCCCATCCGGCCCGGACCCCCCTCCCCCGTAGGCCGGCCCTGACCCTCGGGTGCGCCCCGGCCTCTGCGAGCCAACAACATTTCCGAGCTCATCCCGCCACAGGACCGCCCTTTTGCTGATGATCACGCCACTGGTGCCGCATTCCGGGGTCCAACCTGTCAGATTGCAGGGGCTTCGGCGTCCACAGCTCCGCGAAGGGATGGCGGTGGCCGTGGCGGGCCGTACGGGACGCTGCGCAGCCTGCGCCGGCGGGCGACGCGTCCGGCGGGGCGGGCCTGGGGCCTGCTGGAGGCGCCCGGGCTCGCGACAAAATCTCGGACACCTCGGGAAAGGAGCTGCCTGGTACACTGACAAATACCGTCCGCTTGCACTAAAAAGCGGCTGCTAATTCTGATGAACAGGGGGTCCATGGCTTCGGTCGGTGGGCAAGGAGTCGGTGGGGCTATGAGTATTGGCGGTACTGCGAGGGTCAGGTTGCTGAGGCGTGGCATCGTTTGCGCGTCGTCCGAACGGCATTGGCCGGCCCCATCTCTCATATATTTTGCGCGAGTCAATACGCTGGCGGTCTAAAGAACGAAGGAAGGCGTACAAAGCTGTATGTACGTCTTCGTTTCAAGCGCGTCTGTTATCCTTGCCGGCAGCTCGTGATCAGTTGCACGAGGGCCCGCATGGCTTTCAAAGTCTTGGTCGATCCTGTCGCATGACAGGCTGCTCTAAATGATGCCGTACACGTGGCCAAGTCGTTTGGCCAAGGCAAGGCGTCCGCTGCAGCCGTTATTGCCACGTCGCTCAGTGCAAGACATGGGAATCGAATGGCTGCTAAATTTCGGGGACAGGGGGCCAATCCCGCCATCGTGATGACCCCAGCCAACTGTGGCACAGCTCTATCCTCGGCCGAGCACCACCCTTCCCGCCCGGCACCCGCCACACACCCTTACCACCAGTAGAAAACAGTCCGTTTGCGATGCCAACCGCGATTCCATTTTACACAAATTGATGCTATCGCAGCCACTTTTGTGCCATCCCAGTCACTGTGGCGGCATCATTTTGTGTCAAAATGGCATCATGGCTGGCATCGCAAACATGCTGTTTTCTGCCAGTATACCACACTGCATCAAATTGCATGTGCTGGACATCGGCGAGCAGATATTACCAGAAGAAAACACGATTTATGGGACGCCAGCTGTGACGCCGTTTAGCAGTAGTTGATGCCATCACAGCTATTTTTGTGCAATCGCAATCATTGTGATGGGGCCACACAGTGTCCAAATGGCACTGGAGTTGGTATTGCGCAAATGGTTTTTCTTGCTAGTGTGTATTTTTGATTGTCGCACTCTGAAGGGGCCCCAAACTCCTTCCGTCGAATATTGTGTTGCGCGCAGTGACTGATACTTCACCATGCTGGACAGCAACGTTGCGTTCCGAGGGCCTCACGGCCCTGGCGACATTTCTGCTCCGGCCAAATCAGAGTGGAACGCGCTGGCTTGGGATCCTCGAGGGTACAGTGGAATCGAATCGATCCAGCCACAAGCCGAGACAGGACAGCGGCACACGCCCCGCGAACCTCTGCAAGCCGTCGCCCCGGTGTCCCGAGCGGCCCAAATTGCAGTGGTGCACGCTATATCCTCTTGCCAGCCCCCACCCAAGGCCCCGCTGCGTCAATTTGGGGACGAAGGACCATGCATGAGCGCTCATCGGGAGTTGTGCACAGGCGCTGTTGGCTGCGTTGACGGAAACAGGAACACGACAGCCGATTCTCGCCTCTGCGGAGACCTGGCGGCGTGCAGGCGGGGGCTTCTTCCTGTGCTTGGGCGTCCTGGTGAGCGTGACTTGTCAGGACAGCGCTGGCAACAGATCTGTTGCCTGATCCAGGTGCAACGCTGCGCCGATGCTTGAAGGGGGGGAAGGGCGTGCTGCAGCCCCCGCCACGGTTGCTGCAGGGTCGCGCCCCCCAGTCTGAGACTTGATGGTGCACTGCGACGATGGCTCTCCACCGCTGCAACTTGCTGATCGCATCTTCCAGCTTTGCGCCCTCCGCTCTCTGGCTCGGCTTCCCTCCAGGATGAAACATCGAGCCTCCGGGAGTGGGATGGCTTGGAAGGCAGCGCCGCGCCCCAGTCCCATGGGCACCCTGTCGGTAATCGGAGATTGGCTGTGTCGGATGCGTCGCTGCATGTTCTCTGCCGGCGCAGTCTCATGTCTCTCGCCTGCTGTCTGTGTTGATATGGCGGCTGAAGCCAGAGAGTTGGGTAAGTCTGAAACCTTTCGTCCAGCCCGGGGGGGTGGGGGGGGGAGGGTGGGGGGGGGGAGGCCACCGCCACTGGTCCTGATACCGCGGAACTCCTGGCCGCAGGCAGTCCGAGGCTCGGCCGGATGAATCGCCGGTTCTTTGTCCCACACCCAACCGGCCAGCGGCCGCACGAGGCCGCCGTGTTCCCCTCGAAGGGATGCTGGTCACCCCCCAAGAAACGCCTTCCGTGCGGTGTGTTTTCCGTGTGCACCTCTGTCGGCGTCATTGCGGCTAGTCACGGTCCATGCTGCGCCTGTGTCCAATCATTTGCTTGCGCATGCATCCCTGCTGGAACCGCTAGAGAAGCTGCGCAGGTCTGGGGCATCCTTGGCGCAGAGCGCATGCATGGATGTGCTGGCTCTCTTCGGCCAAGGAGGGCCACCTACCTAGGCAGGTCTGTGCGTGTGAAGAGGGAGCATTACGGGGCAAACAGGCCCATAAACGCACCCATGGGCCGCTCAGTGTTCGGTCAGCAAAACAAACTCAAAGGGCATAAATATCGGATATCGGCACATCATGCACTCAGTTTCGCACGGCAGAACTGTGCGAAGGGCCAGTGCAACACAAGAGCTCAGAAACACAATGCCTGATTTGAAACCGGCCTGGATATCTCATCACCCTCAGTAGCATAATTGCACTTTTCACCAGGGAAACGATTGGTAGTAACTGAGTGAAACTATATAGCTCCCCCAGCCCCACCCTCCCAGCCACACACCTCACCATTGCAGGGAAATTTGATATCTGACAAGTTCCTGAAACGTCAACATTGCGGGACTAACATGGGTCATCCAGCCCGCTCTGGACCGTTAATGCTAGCCATGGCTGCAAACGCTTTTAGTTTCTCGCTTTCCTGGCCTCGCCGCCGACATTTGAGGCAACGAGCTCTTGCGTGCAACCCTTTTTTCTGAGTTTTGGGAGGGTGCTGGCTTCCATTTCTGCGGCTGAACTTTGTATCAGCCTTAGGCAAATGGCCGGCATGGGTGCAGCTATCAATGGGACAGCATTAAGGACCTTCAGTGGCACATCTGGAAATTCGGCAGGCGTTGATGCAATGTTGACGAGGGTTGATGAAAGGGGGCATTGAAACAATGGACCTCAATATTGGTGAAGAACTCTTGAAACAGCGGCTCTTGGCGTC